TCTGAGGTCAAGAGATAAAAGGAAACAAATAAAAATTAGGAATGTATTCTTAATTGTAGCACCCCAGGGAGGCAGTTAGCAGAGTGGTTAAGAACACAGACCCAGATTTTCTGGGTTTGAATTCAGCTTCATCTCTCATTCACTGTGCAACTTTGAAAACTTTTCTTTTTCTCTGCTTCCTCATCTGTAAAGGATGTTTTTCCTTTGATGTAAAAGATTGTTTTTCCCTCATATGGTTGTTACAAAGATTAAATTAGTTAATAAAAAAACACTTAGAAATAGTGCCTGGCAATAATAGTAAGTACTGCATGTCAGTTATTCTTACTGAAAATTATAATAACAACTAGATCAAGTCTCCAGAAATATGTCAGTTTTTAAAAGTTTTTGGTAATGTTTCTGATTTTTAAAAGATCGCAAATGTAGTTTGGGTTAGTCCAAGAAAAAATGTTTGGCTTAATAACTGATTAATGAGTTTTTAGGACAGAATCAATTTTGTATAACCCAATACAGAGTGGAAAATTCACTAAGAGGAGATGTCTGGATGGCATAAAGGCCATTAAAGAAAATCCTAAGCATAATGTTAGACTCAGCTTTGAAACACAAGCTTTACATTATTGTCCTATCAGTTCTAAAATTCCTGGCATGTCATGGAAGCAGACAGACTCAGTTTTTTTTCAAGAAGTCATTCTTTGTTACTGCTTTTGACGTAGATGACCTTGAGAAACTTTTGGTAGGCTTTATTCGTGAGTGTTATTTAAAGTGATAGCTGTGAAAAACTGTTAAAATACCTTTAGCATTGTGCTTTTCAAAAAGAAAGGATAATTCCTTTGAAAGTAATGAGTGGATAAGAGAATCCCAGATATTAGAAGGAAAAAGTCTGTGAGCTCATAGATGGCATTCATCTGCCAAGACAGGAAACGTTTCAGCTGCCAAGACAGGAAACGTTTCAGGAGCTAACTGGTTTTACTCGCTTCATACTGCTGAGCATGCTTGAGTTACTACAATGGGGGCAAAGTGCACTGGGCTCTTCAGCCTCTCTACAGTAATGGCCAATTCAAAGTCATCTAAGAGTCTGGCTTTTCACTGAAGATGTTACTGCCTTGAATGGTTTAAATGTTTATTGCTTATTTAATACAAGGTTTGGTTTTTTGGTTGTTTTTTTTTTAATCTGAGTCTCAATAGTGAGTGCTCTATAAACAATAGTGAGACCTCTCATGGCCACCACAGCCTTGACCAGCCAGGCTCAGATGATCCTTCCGCTCAGTCTTCCAAGAAACTGAAACTACCAGCACATGCCACCACGCCTGGCTAATTTTTATTATTATTATTATTTATTGTAGAGACGAGGTCTTGCTATATTGCCCAGGCTGGTCTCGAACCCTTGGGCTCAGGCAGTCTTCTCACCTCAGTCTCCTAAAGTGCTGGCATTACAAGTGTGAGCCACTACATGAGGCTATTAATACAAGTACTTTTAATAATATTTCTGAACAAAACTTTTACCTTATTACAACTTTGCCTGTACATGAGTTATGGCAGTTTATATCCAATATAGAGATGATGACACATACCCAAAAAAATGCAATTCAAAGTATAAATCTGCATTTTGAATTGAGAACATGTTTAAGAGGATTATAGCATTAATTACAAGAGTTAGACTTCAGAATATGAGAGTGAAAGGAGGTACCTATAGAAACCTAGAAGAAACTTAGCTTATTCTTAGTTTAGTCTTTTTGCCTCAGCATAGCAATTAGAAAGCATTTAGACATTCTACTGCAGGCCAAGAGGCAGCCTATCCCACCCCCTCAGCAAATCTCCATCAGATGCAAGAAGAGGACAGCATAGTAATCTATAGTAAATTTTCAAGTTGCTTGTCAAGGCAGAAGGTCAAAGCCAAAGAAATGAAAATAACTCCCTTTGGTCAGGGAGTTTGCGGATTGCAAATGTCTAACAAGTCTCATAGGAAAAACCCCTCCAGGCCCAAACCCCCAAGTTAACCTAATCAGCCCTTTGTGACCTATGTAACAGACAGATCCCACCATGGCAGCAATTCTGTGACTAACTCCCCCACTGCCTGTTGTCCGTCACCTGGCATCAGTACCTGCACTTACCTGCCCCTTTGTGATGACATGGAGCAGGCCACCACATAATCACCTTAATGACTTCCCCCATCAAAGGGAATGGTTAAAAGGAACTCAACCACAAGCAACAATTGGCCACTGCCTTGCTAGACTCTGCTGGTGTGGCCAAGTTTCCTGGCTTTGCCCCCCACTCCCCCCACCTTGGGGAAGTGAATCTTCTCTTTCTCTAATTTACTTTTTTTTTTTTTGAGTTGGAGTCTCACTCTGTCGCCCAGACTGGAGTGCAGAGGCCGCTCCCGGCCATCGCAGCCTCGACCTGCTGGGCTCCAGCGATCCTTCCGCCTCAGCCTTCCAAGTAGCTGGAATTACAGGCATGCGCTACAACACACAGCTGATTTTTTTATTTATTGTAGAGATGAGGTCTCGCCGCCCAGGCGGGTCTCGAACCCGCGGGCTCAGGCAATCCACTCACCTCAGCCTCCCAAAGGCACAGGATTACAGGCTGAGCCACCGAGCCCAGCTTCTCTCCAATATCTTACTCCATGGTCACATTGCCTCTTCCTCGTCTCCTTTGTGTTTTCTATCTGTCTCAAATCTTTCTCTGCCTTTCTCTCATAAAGATATTTGTCATTAGATTTAGGGCCCACCTGAGTAACCCAGAACTGATCACCTCATTTCAAAATCCTGGACTTAATCTCATCTGCAAAGACCCTTTTTCTGAATAAGGTAACATTCATAGTTGCCAGGAATTTGATGTGAATATCTTTTGGGAAGGCATTTTTCAGCTGACCACACATAGGAACATGTGAAAGTGTAGACATATACACAAAAGAAACCCATCTCTGGTGCTGGTTGAAGATACTGAGTCAGCAAAGCATAATCTCAGCAATTTAGGGTCAGTTATGTCTGCTTTGTGCTCATGATACGTGATTCTATAAAAATACAAAACTGCAAATGCTTGGACCAATGTTTAAAGTGCCAGAAAGAAAAAAAAAATACAGTTAATGCCAGAATCCAACTAATGCAACAGAGAGAAAAAAGAAGAGCAAAAAGTATACAGACATATGAGTCAGAAATAATTGTATTTGAATCCTGGTGATCCTTCCACCTCAGCCTTCCCAGCAGCCGGAATTACAGGCATGCGCTACCACGCCCGGCTGATTTTTTGATTTCTTGTAGAGATGAGGTCTTGCTGCCCAGGTGGGTCTCGAACCCACGGGCTCAGGCAATCCACTCACCTCAACCCCCCAAAGGAGCGGGATTACAGGCTGAGCCACCGAGCCCGGCTCTCTAATTTACTTTTAAATAAACTAAATAAAATAGCATTAATTACAAGAGTTTAAATAAATAAAGCTATTTTCTAATCTAACTTCTGTGCAATTCTTTGCATCTTTCATGCAGCATCGGATCCCTCCCCAGACACCTATACCCCCATCGGGTCTGACCTAACGCCACCCATGGGAAAGTGTGACCCTAATGTATTTTGGAGGCCCCAGGGAGATGACCCTAACAGAAAGGCAGCATGACCTAGTGGAGCAAACACAGGCTTGAGTGTCAGACTGGTGAGCTTTGAAGCTTACCTTGTTTATTTCTTACCCATCTGAAGCTGCACAAGTTATTTCATTCTTCTAAGCCTATTTCTTTACCTAGAAAATGGGTATAATATCAACCTTGAAATTTTGCAAGAATTCAACTAGATATGGAAAAATTTTCTCTCCAACCATTCTGTTCAAATCCCACACTTCCCGTGCGAAAAAGCCAGAACACTAACTTAATTCCCAGAATAATGATCTAGGCTTTATAAGAAAACTTAATGTGTGAAATGATTACCAAGAAAGTACTTATAGGCAGTGGGGGAGGGGGCCACCCCATAACTAGTTTAACAATCACCTTGGTTATTAATGCTATGGTAGCTGGATCTCAAAGTACAAAACTCCGAGATTTTCCTTAGTATTGTAATAAAAACACCATTTGTATAGACAGCAAAGAAGATTTCCCTTATTCTATGAATAGAAATCCTCCATAAAGAGAATTTGTACCAAGATCACTAAAATGCTGTCTGGGAATCCAGTACTTAAGTAGTGAGCATTTTATGTCCGGTTTCCCTGGACTTGAGCCCTGCGGAAGTCTTCGGGATGGAAAATACGATTTGGGAACAGAGGCTTGAGCCAGATTAATTCTAGGGGCTGTCTCAGACCCTCTCCGGACGCCAAGTGGTATCTTGCACTTACGCCTGAAAATCTACATCCCACCACGGAAGGATGATCTAAGTGGGGAAGATGGCAGTTGGAAGTAGGAAGAGTAGACAGAACCGACGGCTTACGGCTGCCTCCGCGGCTCCCCTTCACGCTCCTCGGAACCCTCCGTGCACCCGGCAGGGAGAGCTCGAAGGAGGCGGGTCCAGAATTGCCCTCCCGCCCCGCCCCGCCTCAGCGGTCCCCTCCCAAGGTGGCTTCCCGCGCAGCACCCGGGCCAGATAATGAGCGTTTCGGCACCGAATATGCATCGGGGCCCACATGAGCCCCGGGTGCACATCCAAAGTGCAATCCCCAGCAGGCATCACTCCCAGGGTCCAGGTGTGAGGACATTCTTCAGAAACCAGCCCCCCACCGTAGGGAGAACGAGGCCCTCCACGGAGGCAAAGCTCGCTCAGCCTGGGCGCGCGTGAGGGAAACCTGGGGAGGGGGTCATTTCTATTACCTGACCTGCTTCTGTCAGTCTGTCTCTAAAAATAATGTCGGAGCCGGGGGCTGGTGGAGACAGATTTAAAAACAGCGTCGGAGAAACCCGGAGAGTGCGGAGGAACAGTCAGCCCCACTCACCTGTCAGCGTTGGGGGCGTGCGCGCGGCCGCCCTGGGGGACAAACGACTCGGCGCGCAGGCGCACGTCCTCCCTTCACGCCACGCCCTCGCCACGCCTCCAGCCCCACCCATCTCCCCAGCCCCGTCGGGCCGCGGGCCCCACTAGCCGATCGTCCCCGCGTCTTCCTCCCGGGTCAGCCTCGCTTCAGCCTGCACTGCGCCCTCCCGGCCTAGGGCGTCGCTGTACCGGCCTCGGCGCTCCACACGGACGCCTACAGCCCTCGAGCGGGGGCAGGAGGCGGAGCAGAGTGCTGGGGGGCGGTGTCCCCGCGGTCTAGGGTCCGCGACGGTGGCGGTGGCCGAGTCGGTGGTCCCTGCGCGATGGCCGCGTCGGTGTTGTGCTGCCTGTGGTGCTGCAGGGACGGCGGGACCGGCCACATCCCCCTGAAGGAGATGCCGGCCGTGCAGCTGGACACGCAGCACATGGGTA